ACTTGCGATGGGCTTGGAGAGGGAGTGCGCCTTTGTTGCCACACGGCTGATGGCGTGCCTGATGCCACAAGACAATGGAAAGATTCTACAATACACCCACTACAGAGAAACAGAGACCCCTACACATCCATGGGCTGCTCTAATGGGCATGTCAGCACGCACCAACGCCTAAACGCGTGCTGAGCTGGAAATTTTTTCGCTCTTGTGGTTTACCATTTTATTGGCCGGCTGCGTGCCGAGGGGTCGACAAGTGTTTATTTCGGCATTTTGCTTTATTTTCTTGTTGTTGTTGTTGTTGTTGTTTTTGGCATCTCTGTTCCGAACTGTTGTTCTCTACCCCACCACCTTTTTCCCTTTACTTTTTGGCGGGGCACACCTAGCGCTGAGTGGACCGATAAGCGTTTTTCCAGGCAGGCAGTATATACTCAACCGGAGCTTTCAATGGCCACGTTTGTCTACATTTAGTTTTTGTGGGCCAAATGATTATTGGGCTGCTCTTTGCTCGGCTCGGTGTAGTCGGAGCTTCACCGTTGCCAGGGCTGTTAATACGCATGGCGAGTCCTGGTGGCATTGTTTGCTTATTTGTCGAAATGGTTTCACGCTTTTTCAGTAGGAGGAGGCGAGCGGCGTCGATGCTAGCAGAGTGCTTGATAAGTTCCATTTAAAGTGAGGCAGTTAGGGCTGTATAACTAAATTAACAAATACATAGGTGATGCTGGCGTGGATGCCTAAATAAAAACTTATTTATATGACAAATTTGTAATTTAATTGTTTAATGAAATTATAAACTGGACAACTCTTTCAGGTCTTCAATATTTTTTTTTTTTTTAATTGCTTTCTTAATCTATGGCATTTGTTTGCATTAAATAAGTATTTTATTGAAGGGCACGGTGTAGGAAGCATTTTGGGTCTTTTAGAGATGGGTTCCTTTTCGAGTTTCTCCCCTTTCTCAGTTTTCGACTGTAAGCAATTTCTTATGCACTCAGCTTTCGTATACCCTACGACGCATTGAAATGCCCTAACACATTTACCTTTTCTCTCCACCCAAAGTTTTCGCAATGGATGGCACATGCGGTAGTACGGAATGAGTATTACCGGGATATGACAATAATCGACTAAAAAAAAACCAATTGTAAAATCGAAATTATATGCATAGTATGTACATAATCCTGTTTACCTCCTCTTTGTAGTCTTTGACTATATGTGCATCCACTTGTTAAAATTAGAAGTATTAACATTCCCCAGTGCGCCCTCATTGTATCAGGGAATTAACTAAACGGGCTTTCGTATTTAAATTATTTAGGTATTCGCGTCATGCTTAAACCGTGTTTGGTTCGCTATTTTAATGCGTGTTTTCAAGGTTAGATACAAAAGATTTTGAGGCGAATGATACCCGATGGCGCTAATATCAACGCATTTAATACAGCGTTGGAAATTTGTTTGTGTACATTGCTCGGTACATATATGAATAGTAGGACAGATAATATCAAATATAGCTTTAGCATATTTGGATGTTATACCATCAACAACATACAAATATATTGATATTTGACATCTTTCTTCGTTCTTGAACTATGAATACACATTTCGATTTCTAACGGAAGCGTTTATTGATTTGTTGAAATGACTTAACACTTTTTCCCTAAGAAGGGGCAGAGAAGCAGAGTGCTGGAAAAGTTGCTATTGAAATAAGGCAGTTAACTTATTTAAATAAATGTTAAGTCTTGATCCTTGGATTGATGCGTAAATAAAAAGTATTATGGTAATTATAAACTGGACTGTTTCTGTTCTTTAGTACTTTTGTGGTTTGCTTTCCTCCATCTATAGTATTTGCTTGCATTAAATAAATAACATCTATCTAATGGAGCTTTACTGATTTTGTATGATGGGTTTTTTACTGGTTCGTGGTTTCTCAGTCGGCTTTAAACAATTTTGTTCGCATTCTTCTCTTGAATACCCTTCGACGCATAGAAATATTAGAACACAATAACCTCTTCTCTCTATCCAAGAGGGTATCAATGGATTGCACATGAGGTTGCTGTACGGAGTAAATATTACCGGCTGTGCTTTTACATGACACTTGTCGACTAAAAGACAAACATTTCAGCAACCGAAATATGATAATTATATGGAATTCTACTTACCTGATTTACGTTCATGTTGACTATATATAGATCGAATGGTGAAAACAAGAAGTATTAACATTCCCCATTGGACTTTCATTGCAACAGGGAATTAACTAAATTGACTTTCGTTGTTCAGCTAATTAAGTATTCGTGCTATGGATTAATTGTGTTTGATTCGCTATTTTAATGCATATTTTTAAGAGTTAGATACGGAAACCTACAGGCAAATAATGACATACATTTCTTTAATAAATATAAATATAAGTATTAAGAAACCTTATTTTTATATTTTTATACAAGTATATGTCTGATTATGCTTTTATGTGTTTGATTTCTCCAAGCACTGTTTCTTACATTCGGCTTCCGTAAGGCCCGTAATGCATTGGAAAGCCATTATACATTTATTTTTTCGCAATACCCAAACTTTCCTTAACGGTTGGCATATGGTGCGCCTTGGGACGAGAACTACCGGAATAGTGCATAAGTTCACTTGGAAAACAAGATTCTTTTAGACTTTAAAAATAAAATCAATCATCTTTACAAGTTTACCATTATATGGTGGTTTTTGACTCGTGGCTATGACCAACAGCTGAAGGCAAAATGCCAGAATAAAAAGTTTTACAGTATCGTGCTCCCTCATTGTGTCTCAAGGCGAACTAATATTTTTTAAAAGTTAAATGCTTGCTACTTGTATAATTATATAAATATTAGTTTTGCCAATTTCACGTTATAAGCGCAATGTATTTCATTTTAGAGTTTGGCTTATGTATTCCCTAATGTACCTAAATCAGCAATTGTATTTAGTTTGTGTGTCAGAGCCGGTTGAAAAGGAAACTTGTACGTATACTAGAGTTGGGAGCTTCTACCCCAGTTCTTGTATTTTTAATGATAATAAAGTCTGTCCTTTTAACTTTGACAACTTTCAATAAAATTGAGATTTTCTGCACTTGCTCTTCTTACAAGAGCAGCGAAAACATTTTTCTAGACTGTTTTATAAAGAAATTTAACGCCAATTGTGAAAATAACTGTTCCCCTTAGGAGCTAGAGCGCCACATTCTTCTTCTTCTTCATCACATCCATTTCGAGCTTCATGTACGGCCATTGGATGTGTGTGTTTCTTGGTACGAATAAAAGAGAAATACTGAATTCTAGAATTACCACACACTCTCATCAATAAGTGCCAGCTGACCAATGATGTGTGTCTGTGATTGCGCCACTCGTTCAGTAAACGTAACTAAATTGCTTGCTATGCACTCGTCTATAATTATAAGTATTACTTTTACACTTGATGGTGCAGCAAATTGTTTTGGAATGTGCACACATATACAATACGCAAGTATGTGTGACAATTTGCTTTCCCCCACAAACAGATGCTTTAAAATGTAGATGTTTTGCAAAGACAGCTTTGTATTTACTGATTGAGTGGCGGGTATTGTGCAGTGTTTTTGGTTTGCTATTTTAAATTGGGTTCTGTCAATAATAAACTTTAGTCAAGCTTGATGAAGCCAATACTTACGTAAGGACAGCATCTGAGTGTAATTAACACAGTCCATTGTGCACAGTATTCGCATTGAAATGACTAAATGCACAGCTTGTCTGTGTTCACACACACATACAAAAACACAGTCTTTGTCTCAGACACTCGTAATTAAGTTAAAGCAATCAGCGAGAGTGATGCTAGTATAACGTCTTTGAGGGCGTAGCACGGCTTATTGTTGCCAGAAAATTTATGCAAATTTCGATTAATTTACTTTTGACGCAGGCACAAATGCCGCAGCTTTGGTGGGTCGCCCGCTCATTAAGTGCAGCTCAAAAATAAAATGAAAACAAAACAATATAAAAAATTGTTCATTAAGAGCAGCCACAGCAAGTGGTGTCCCATCCTAATTGAACGGAAACCGTGACGCACTCAACGCTGATGACAAGGGAATCATTTGATTTCGTTTCACAGCTGATTACAGCTGATCAGGCAGGCGCGCAAACAATCAATTTCCATTTCGCTTACATTTTTCTTCTCTCGTTAATTTTTTGTTCCTTTACATTTATTCGCATTCCATTTTGTCTATGTCTAATGCTTTGTTTTAGCCAAAATATTTCTACCGTCTGGCTGAGGTTGCCCTTACACGTTATTTATTAAAATATTTATACGCGTTGCATTCTTCTATGCTTGGATTTTGGCTGAAATTTGTTGATTGCCTTGAGTTATAAAAACTATAATAAAACTTCCGTCATTTCCGCTTGGCAAAGACATCGATTTCAAAAGCAGAACTTGCCCAAATGATGTTCATATTTCAATTTCCGGCTATCGAGTGGCACTGAGCTTCCAGCATTTATTGCAATCAGTGTGGCTGGCATTTAGCTTGACAGTTGACCAGATATTGCTGCAGCTGATGTTGTAAAGTTTTTGAAATTGTATTGCGCTTGGACTTGATTGATGCGGCGGAAGTTGGTTTTGTTTGTTTGTCGTCCCCTATGGCATGCAGCTTACTCATTTTACTTGATTTTTGCTATTTTTGATGATTTCGATTTGCATTTTGCTTGCGCACATATGAGCTCCCAAAAAAAAGGCAACATTAGGAATGCATTTGCACACACACACACACACACACACACACAATTAATACTGATTGCATATTTCATATAAATGACTTAAACGACTAAAAATCTGCTAACAAATGCTTTCAAAAATTCGATTCAAATTCATAATAATAAAAAAATACAAATATACGCACAATAACAAAAACAAATTTGTTCTAAATACAACGCGAATTGAATTTGAAAAAATAATAACAACCCGTCGTCATAATCATGCCACAATCATTCCAACGCTCAACCAGAATGTCAATGTTCTTCTTTCGATTGCACAATCTTCAGCGCGCCGAGGAGAATAAGCGCAAGAAGCGCGTCGAGCAGCAGCGGCAACAGCAGCGGCAGAGACGCGGTGCCAAGGTCTTTAAATGTGTTAGTGACTCCACTGGTCATCTGACACTGGCACCCTCTAGACTCTTCGAGCGCACCCCCATGAGCCCGTCCGATAGCCTGGATGAGATTGCGCTGCAGATACCAAGGTGAGTTCCCATACTGTAATGCCAAGAGTCTTTCGCAAAAAGGCCAAAACTGGAGGTATCACAAACACAAAGAAATAATTGCGAAACTATAAATTGGATTTAATGATGCTAGTATTAATAGTCGAATACTTTGGACTTCGATGCTTACAATGGATTTAATTGAGAAGCATTTAAATACAATAAACTAAGTATCGCCATCATAAGTAGAACAGGCAAAATTTGCCATCAACCGAAATAACAATTAATAATATGAAAGGTCTGATGAACTTAAAGAATGCGAGGAAATTAAATAAATATTTACATACGCCATACTGTTGACTATATAATTCATCCATTGTTCAATTATTTTTCCATTCAATTGTTCTCTACCTTCAGTCTACAAGTACAAGCATCACGATTGTGTAAGAGTATATGTTTTGAAAGTCATTACATTTAAGGACAGCAAAAAGTTATGACACAATTTAAGGCTGTCCTTTACAAGGCACCCAAAATCCACATGTTTTAATAATAAAAACTAAAGGCTGCACTCTGCTTGTAGCTTGTATATACTATACCCTGCCCAACTAATTCACAGTCTTCTAAGTATTTCTATATTGTTAGCATAATTCAAGCCGTATAAGTGGTTATCCGATACTTCTTCCCACTTATGAAACTTACAGCTCTCTATTATATAACAAAATCATTCAAGAATAAATCAGCAGGATATGAAAATTTAATTAGGAATAAAAATGTAACTTTTTTGAACATTTTCTTTCAGATCAACTTAATACTTTTTCTGATTATTATGGGAAGGGTTAGTGTATTTTCGATTCATCAAAATTAAATATATCTTATATTGTTGAGAGACATTTTCAGTCTGCGTAACTGCATTTCTGAAGTTCGTGTTTCTTTCGTAGAATTTCACGAGTGCCTTTTCAAATCATGCCCTTTTAACGTGGCACTCCTTTGTGTGTGTACTTTGACAAAAACATACTATATTACATAGTATATACAAGTACTTCCATTTTCATACAAAAGCAGTCTGCCTTTTGAAATTATGTGGTTTGCCAAATGCAGAGTCAAAAACTTTGTCAAGTGAAAAAATAATTTGGTCCAAAATGCGATACATGCGGCAGCTACAGACTTAAGCAAAAATGTGAAATTTATTATTAAAACGGATTGTCAAAGCCGCTGGCTTAAGGCAGTTAATTCTTTTGTATAAAGGACCTAGAACCACAAGTCGCATAACTAGATGGTCAGTAAGATAACTAATAACTTTTAATTAACTGAAGTGGAGCTCGGGTTGTGTGCCACTTTTAGATCCCTTTTGGCGCAGCAAGCTTTGCTTTCTATTATTAGAAAGTACAAAATTTCAAAAGTATTATTTAGTATCATCCACAACAGTAACACGTTCGGTCCTTGAAAACGCTCGGCAAAATTACCAGGATTTGTTGCAAGTATTGCAGGCAGCTTGGCCGTAAAACAAACGGACTTTTGCAACCGTCAACATGAATATGATGTGTGAGCGAGTGTCGGCAGTTTTCGCTGGTATGGTTGTTGGTCTTTGGTATGCAAAGACATTTCCTGCAGACGATGCAAACAAGGATAAGGATAAAGGCGGCAAAGATAAGAATAACAAAGACAAGAAGAAGTAACTTTGAGGTGCAGTTAGATAATTAGCATTGGTTTATATAATTCCTTTACGGGGGTCGATCAATAAGTACCCGTGCAAGCAATACGCATGGAAGTTTTTCAAATTTCCCAATACTTCTGCCATATTTTGGACGCCCTGAAAAGGGATGATTTGTCCAATGCAATTTAACGAAATTGTTCTCATATCCAACCTCTGCCATTCGGCAGTTTAGTGTGGCTTACAGATTAAAACCACCTCCCCTTTTGGCACTTATGGATAGGCTTATAAGTAATATCCACAATCGCTTTAAATCATTTGGTTGCTTTTCCAGAGGCAACTTTAAAGAAAATTGCGGATTGATTATGTTCTTTTATTTTTTGAGGAACATAAAAGCTAAAAAGTCGGGCAAACAATTTCGTTTTTGGAACATGCTTACTTATTGACCGACCCTAGAATGTTTGTGAGGCTTCCTGAACTCTATTTTCCAAATATTTCGCACAGATACAAGCTGATGCTAAATACCTATGCGAAGTTGGCCGAGCGTTAAGTTTCCAGTAACATTGTCGTCTAAAATCATTCGAGCTCCAATATTCCAACCAAAATTACCTAGTGAAAAACAAAAATAGAAAAAAAATTAAAAGCGTAAGATGGCGTGCTGCAAGAGGCAGGAAGTGCGCAGGGTGTGCAGACCGCAGCCGTCGCTTTTCTCGCGCTTGAATTGCTTACCATGCAACCGAATGTTTTTCTTCATGGTCGGTGTTGGCATTGGTGTTTACTGGACCCGGATTAAGGAAAGAATCGCCGAGGAAACCAAAGAAGCTTCTAAGGCCGCCGAGAAGAACAAAAAGAAATAGGACTATTATGGACCCCCATATAGAACTGGCACAATCTAGCGTGAGGAGTGTATGAAGTCGGTGTTACGAAAAAATGAAGATGTTTGCTCTCAATGCTTCGTTTCGTATCGCCGTCTTGGATGCGCTGTTCGAGACACTGGCGTGTGCCAGACCCCGGCACTAAAGACTTCCAAACTTTACTTAATGCAGTGGTGCAACGATTTGCCCGAAACTCTGGCCTACTTCGGACAAATCTTGGCACTTTTGTTCACATCCTGACACAACGCAAATAAAGTAATCGATTGAATCTTCCAAAGAATATGTTTAATTTATTGCAACTGATGATGGTTTTATGAGCTAGGTTTTTCGTTAAACATTGGTGGATAGGACTTCTCAACTTTATTTCTTTTTGTCCTTGTTCTTGTTCTTATTCTTGCGCTTGCCTTTTTTGCCAGCTTCCTGTTTGGCTTCTTCAGCCAACTTCTCGGCTTCTCGTTGTACCTTGTCATAGTAAATGGCTATGCCGGCACCAACCAAAAAGAAAAAGAGTCGATTGCAGGGCACGCAGTTGACCCTAGAGAAGAGAGAGGGCTTGCAGACACAAAGCTGCGGCTTAGGCTCTGGCTCACATCCGCAACGGGAAGGTCCTTCATCGCACATGATGTCCACCTTGTTTCCCGAATGGCAAAGCTGTGGCGGAAAATTTTGTGAAAAACCGAGTTCAATTTAATTTTCTATTGTGTGGCCAAAGTATGAATACATAATAAAATGACTCTAAGGCCATTGCAAACCTGATAAAACAGAGTTCGAATGTACCGATTGAAAAATGTCTTTTCTCAGTTAACTAGCAGTAGGCCATCAGTCAGTCATTTCACATTTGTCTATTTTCATTTTGGAAAGAACTCTTACATGTACCGAAACTCTCTAAATTGAAGCGTAAGTGCAATAGAAAGCTTCCCACCCATACAATATTATGTTTACATAACTCTACATCAATTTTAGAAATCCATTTTTGCAATGCAGCGTCTTCTTACATTGGTAGTTGGCGGTATTATTGGGTACCTTATCGCCAAGAACGTACGTTAAGGAAATCACTATTTTTTCAGCGGTTTCACAAACGAAGCACGAAGCATGACTCACGTCATTTCATTTGCTTTAGGCGTTATTATCGGAATGTTAATGTGCCGTCGTTGCGGTGGGCCCTAAGAAGCAACTGGTAACTGAATCATGCTGAAAAACAACTCAAACTTTACCGCTATGGTCTACCTATATAGCTAATAAATCTGAATGCATTCAATCTAAAATTCAATCAACCACGTTTTTTGAATATCGATTAATAACGCAGTTGTGGAAACGCTTTCATCGCAAAATTTAAATTGATTGATTGGCTTGCCAACACATAATACTATTTCATTTCTGTCACACAGTTGACCCCTTAAGGGTGAAAATAAAACATTGATCTCAGTTAGCTATCATTTTGCCATCAGGCAACACAGATTTTGGAAATTTTTTAAAAATAACCCAGCACATGGCTTTTTTAAATCATCAGAAAATTTGAGTGGTAAGCGTAATTACAAATACATACATACATAATAAGAGCCAAATCCAACTGTCCATCGCCACTTTGTTCGTTCCACATGAGTTCGTTGGCGGAGTATACAAAACAACAATGATTACAATGAACTCTTGAAATATTACTCTTATTACTTAATTAATTGTTTGTACGTACATTTCAGGAAATCAAATTTAAAACAAATATGCAGCGTGTTCTCACCTTTTTGGTTGGCGGCATTATTGGTTTCCTTATCGCCAAAAATACCAGATAGAGTGAGAATCATTCATCTATTGGTTTCAATAATCTGGCACGCCACAAGAGGCACTATTCACGGAGTTACTTTCAAATAAATTTGGAAAGCAAATATGACTCATGTCATATCATTTGCCTTGGGCATTCTGATCGGAATGTTAATGTGTCGGCGGTGCAATCCTTAGCTCTGGCTGGCATTTGACAAAATAGATTCAATAATAGCGCCCTCAAAATCAATTGTATTATAATAAACTTAACAGAAAATATACATATATGCATATAACAAAAATATTAGTTGAACATAAATTTTGTCTTTGTTTTGCAATATTTACAACATCATAATATCTGTCCCTACATTATTTCTATTTGTATTTAACATATATATTTGTGTGTGAATAAATATATCTGAACACTCGCCATGTGGGAGATAAAATAGGGAAAAATAAAACGACAGACAAAATCTAAAAAGATCTTTCCATTTATCTTTACAGGTAAATATCCCTATTCGAAGTTAATATACACAGCGTTCTAAGCAATCACTCAGTCTTAGATTGAAAGAAGTATTTCTAAAATATTCCAAATGGTATGGTATGCATAATAAATATTTCCGATTTATAACATAATTCCGATGCGTTTTCTTAGAAAGTAAGAATTCTTTTGTGCAGTAATTTAAATTGATTTTTATCATCGAATGTTATACTTATGTGCAATGTGCACCCAATTCAATTCAATTTTTTTTTTTTTTTTTTGTTGCTAATTTTTAAGTTTTAACTTAACTGTCCAGGTGGTGTCTATATTGCTGCCAACCGAAGTTTATGTGCACAAAAGTTTCAAAGTTAGTATTGTTTGCACAAGCCGCTGCTCCATCTCCATATTTATGATGCGGGTCGTGTGCGGTGATAGACCGGAATGTCGGTTGGGGTTTGAATCGATGTAGAGCACTTAAAGTGTTCAGCCAAAAACAGAATGTGTATCAACTTTTAAGGATACGTTTCGGCGATTGTGCCTAATGTGATTGTGTGAAATTGGAGGCTGACTAAAACAGTTTGCCCTTTTCCCAAACCTCAAGCATAATTACTGCTCAAGTTGGCATATTCGCCAAAGGCACATGCCTTCGTACTTATGAAGTAGTTTGGCAGGATGTTTTATGTAAATGAAATTATTGTAAACCCGATTTGTTTTGCACAGAAACTTTCGAAATATGTGTTGTAGTCCCTTACATACATACATATATGTATGTGCAGTACAAATAAACCTAACTTATCTGTCTGAAAGTAAACCTTTCATTATGATTGATTATCGATGAAATATGTAGAAACTGATAAGAAACCACACCCGCTTAACAAATGAGCAGAACAAAAGAAATGAAGTCGGTTTTTGTTTCCGTGTTCAAAGAACTTTTTGGCATTTCAGTCAGTCAAGGCTAGCTAGATAGATAGCTAAACACACGCTCACACATACACACACACACACACACACACATAGGTATAGCATTGGGTCAGGATTTGTTGCCCACACTAGCATTAATATTTCATGAATTCAACTGGATCTTGGATGCGACTATGCATATCTAAAAAGCCCATGGCATTAGTGCAGGGTCTGTGTTTATTCTAAGCGCATACAAACAAAGAAAAACAAACCGAACCAAACCAAAACCAAACCGAACCGTGCCACAGTTTTCAAGCGAAAGGTTAAATGTTCATCAGATTGACTGCGCCATGAATTGATAAGCGCTGTGCCGCCTGATGAGAAGGGCAGGCAGCCATCGTTGCCTGCCATCCTAAATGATAGATGGCCACATCATCAGTGGGAAAGGTTAAATGTTTGGTCCTTCATTTTAGCGCCAATACAAGTTTATAGACTCAGCTCCTTCTGCAGCAGCTTCTGCTTACGGGTCAACAGGTATACGGCCTTGAAATGCGCCGGCCACAGAATGAGTTCATCATGATTTAATCCGCTGACTGCCACTTGACCCAAGCCTGATATAAAATATTACGGGCTGACACCGAAATTGATGGCGCGTCCTTCATCAACATCGATTGCCGCGACGCAGAGGCACAGGTGACAAGCTTTGACAACGGTGTGTCTACGGATTGAACACATTCAGTTCAGCAGCGAATTGTGAGAATCAATAAAAGTTTTAATTAAATTTAGCGGCATGTTCTTCATAACAAAAGTGTCGAACTAATTTGCTTATTGTCAAATGAAATGGTTTTAATTTGACTTTTTGCGTCAACGCGTAGCTTAGCTTAGCTGACATGCAAAATTAGGATCTTATCCATTCAAATTCCGGTTGGTAAAGGAGCGTAAAACGGAAAGCGCACAATACACAAGCTTTTTAACAGACATTCTTCTCTTCCTCTGTTAGGTGTTTCTCTTAAGAGCCAAGCTTTTGCGAAGCTCTCTCTTGGCAAAAATGTAAACAAGGTTGCATCCTTGTATAACAGTCACTGTTTCGGCCGGCAAGTGCAGCTGACAGCTGTTTGCTCACCAAAAAACTCACCACACTATGTTGGGTTGCAGTGCCCGCCATGGTGCGTTCCGAGCCTGCGCCGCATACTGGTTCAGTCGTTATCCTAGTGCCGACGCGAGTGAAAGCAATCGCAAGCCTTACACGGCAATCGGCAGCAAGCGCGTGAACAATTTATTTAACAGTTCCAGCACCTGTGCATAATTAAAGATAGAAACATTTTCCCTAACCATAATTTTTAATTTTTGGTTGTGCATATGCGAGTACTATCTGGTTGTGTGGAAATCTTCGCGTGATTTTAAAGTTCAACTCCAAACTTAAGAGTAGTTTTCAGAAAAAAGCCAAACCTCTTTTTTGAAATTTATGTTGTCTAAATCAGTTATTTAGGTAAACGATTTGAATATAAAGATTATATTTGAGTGTCATGGAAAGCGTGCAGTGGTAATCGGTGAAATGCATTAAAATACTATTTGTAAAAAAAATAGTACTAAAATATATACTACTTGTATATTTATAAAGACATACTTATAAAAGAAATTAAATATTAGCCATTTAATTGACTATTTTTTACGAAAAAATAATAATAATGATACAAGTATATTCATATAAAATGTAACCAGCACTTGCAATAGAGAAATATTTGAACGCTGTTGGCGATCGACTAAAATAAGTCCATATACTGCATATAATCATATTTTTATGAAGCAGATAAAAAAGATTTTTTGTTTTTGTTAATTTTGCAGACAAATGACATCAATTTTTGGATAACACAATAGTTTTTCCTCTAAGCCCAGAAAATAAGGCGGAGGTACTGTAAATAATTTCTGAGGAATTGTTCTATGTATGTTTTTTGAATAATGTCTGCTGACAGAAAGTTTGCAACTTGTCTTCATCATTTAACTTAAATATGTAGCGAGGACTTAAAATACGTGCCCGCAAGTGCCACTAAGCCAAGTGATGTGTCTGTTAGTAATTGGCTTTAATGTTAAAGCCTCAAAAAGTTAAAGATAAACTTGTTTTATTCAGTCGTCTGCAGATCATTGATTAGCTTGAAATGAAATTGATTTAAGGACGAAAGCTCGCTGAACAATTAAGCCGCATCATAATTGAATTCGATTGCAGTAAATATGAGACGTGGAATAAAACGACAAAGTGAAAAGATTGGCGCCCATTTTGGCCATCTTTCTGTTTTTGGTCGCAAGCAAAGACAGCTAGCTCAGTGTGCCTTGTAATTGAGTTATTTCTTTTAGATTGCGCCATTTTATTATTATTAAATGGCTGCTGCGAGAACAAGCTGTTAATGGCTCGCCATTAAAATGGCGTTGGTGACATGAAAAAATATAGAGAGTATTTCTTTTTGTGAGTGTGTATTTGTGCGGCTTGTGTGTGTGTGTGTGTGTGTGTGTGTGGTTGTGTCTGTGTGTCTAACCGCCGCAATGATTGTTTTAATGGCTACTTGAACGGAAATTAACTGACAAGGGCAGATAAATAAATACAAGAGGCCGTGGGTGGCACTTTGGCAGCGATTTTTGTTTTTGACTTGACAGCTTGCCATTTCTGGCACTTGTGCGAACGTCAAGGACATGAATACAC